TTTAAGTTGACTTCGGTCAACATTTTGGGTAAACGGACCCGGACCCATGATTTGACGGTCCCGGAGGGTCCGTAGAAAAATATGGGACTTGTGCGTGTGCCCGGAATTGAATTCCGAGGTCCCTAGCCCGAGTAATGAATTTTTGAAAGAAATTGTTTAACTGAAAATATAAGAGTTTATGGAAATTTAAAGATGTTTGAATTTGATGGTATCGAGCCCGTATTTTAGTTCTGGAGCCCAGTATAGGTTTATTATGGTATTTAAGTTGTGCCTGTGAAATTTGGTAAGAAACGGAATTCATATGACGTGAATCGGACCCTCTGTTGTGGAATGGAAACTTTAAGAGTTCTTGATATTTTTCTTTGATTTTGATGCTAAACTCGTATTTCTATCGATTTGATCGCACGAGTAAGTCCGTATGATGTTTTTAGATTGGGTTACATGTTTGGTTTGGAGCCCTAAGGGCTCGGGTGAGTTCCGGATAGGCTACAGGGTGATTTACACTTAGGAAAATCTGGTATGATTGCTGCTTTTGGTGTCTGTTGCACCATGCATCGCGATCGCGTAGTAACTCTCGCGATCGCGGAAGGGAAACTGGGCTGGGGATGGGTTTGTTCTACGCGAACGCATAGACAGGGTCGCGAACATGGAGCACTGGGGGGCTGCTCTACGCGAACGCGTATAGTAAAATGGGGGTGGGCTGGGAATCAACCCTTTCTTCTACGCGAACGCGTACAGCGGTCCGCGAACACGAAGGCCAGGAGGGGCTTACCCTTCGTGAACGCGTGGAGGATCTCGCGATCGCGTAAGTCCTTAGGATGCTGCTCTTCGCGATCGCGACAGTGTTCACGCGATCGCGATGAACACTGTCGCCCAGCTTTTTAAAACAGTAGCAGAATAGGGAATTAGCCCAAATTTTCATATTTTCAAAACTAGAGAGCATTGAGGCGATTTTTAAGAGGCAAGTTCTTCCCCAAAGTATTGGTATATGATTCTAAACCTTTTTCTTTCAATTTCCCTTTGCATTTCATCAATCTTCATCAAAAAATCTAGGGTTTTTATGGTATTAATTGGTAATTTGGGTACAATTAGGGCTTTTTGAATAATTAGAATTTAGACCTCATTTTAGGGTCGGATTTCGAAACTAATTGCATATTCGGGCTCGTGGGCGAATGGGTAATCGGGTTTTGATCCGAACCTCGAGTTTTGACCAAGCGGGCCCGGGGTTGATTTTTGACTTTTTGGGGAAAATGATAGAAAACCTATAATTAAACATTGGAGTTGAATTCTTTAGCATTTATTGCTGTTGTTAAATTAATATGGGTTAGATACAAGTGAATTGAAAGTGAAATCAAAAGGGAAAGCGGTACTTAAGGCTTGAGTTTGGCCGTGGAATTCGAGGTAAGTGTTTGGTCTAACCTTAGCTTGAGGGAATGGGTGTTGTATCTTATTTGCTATGTGTTAGTGTCAAGCACGACGTATAGGTGAGGTGACGAGTATCTATACGTTGGTGTCAAGCATGCCCGTGAGTCTATTATGTTAAGATTGTTGCGATTTTTATTATGTATTGTTCATGTTGAAATTGATGACTAGCACTGTGGAACAAGGTTTATGATAGATTCTTGGTAGTCGACCATTGTCGAGTATTGGTTCAAGTTGAGGTTTATTTGTGAAGTAATTGTGGAAACTAATTTGGTTATAGCTGATTCCCTTGCCGGGATGATATTGTTTCTGTTGTTGACTCCCTTTCCGGGACGGTATTGTTTCTATTTGATGTTTCTATTGTGGATTCCCTTGCCGGGATGTTATCACTGTATTTGTTTGGGTGAGGAAGAGTGTAAAGCACGAAGGGTGATGCCGTGCGTGAGATTGTGAGAGAGTGTTAATGCACGAACGGTGATGCCGTGCCGATATTGTGAGGATTAATGCACGAAGGGTGATGCCGTGCCATATTAATAATACTAAAAGCACGAAGGGTGATGCCGTGCACTTGTTTTTGTGTTATTAATTCCTTCGCTTTAAGTTTGATATTTACTTTGTCGCCTTGCTTTATATCTGTTATAACTTGATACCCTTCTTGGCATGTTTCCCCTTTTACCCTCTTGTTTTGTTTAATTCTTGTTATTATTGTTTCCGGTATATGATTTAATTGCACAGGTTATTTGGTCGTTGTGTCCTAGCCTCGTCACTACTTCGCCGAGGTTAGGCTCGACACTTACCAGTGCATGGGGTCGGTAGTACTGATACTACACTCTGCACTCTTTTGTGCAGATCCCGGTATTGGACCCTACGGACCATAGATTGAGGTTGCTGCCTTCAGTCCAGTGGAGACCCGAGTTAGTCCTACAGGCGTCCGCAGGCCTTGGCGTCCCCTTCTATCATATTCCCATTCTGTTTTTATCTATTTCTGAGACAGACTTGTATTTTTCTTGTTCAGACCACTACTTGTAGTATTCCTAGATAGTTCGTGATATTGTGACACCAGTTCTGGGTGGATTTCTATTTTGGATTTCGTACTAGTATTATATTAAACTGTTAAATTATATTCTTCCGCATTTTATTCCGTTGTTTACGTTATGTTATCTTGTAAATTGCTGAAAGATAGAAGTAAAAAGGTAAAATAATCAGTAACGTTGGGTTGCCTAGCGGGTTCAATGTTAGGCACCATCACGGTCCCGACGGTTGGAAATTCGGGTCGTGACAAATTCTCATGTTAAAGCCCAAGGTCCACTGGCCCCTGCTATCCCTAAATACCCCTCCCACCCCTCCCACCCCTGGATTCCCTTCGCAGGATCCATCTATATTAAGTTTATAGAAATTTGTGGCGGGGGGTTCCCATTTTACAAGGATCGTTTTCTTGGGAAGTTTTATACCTAGATTTTTTGCCATGTATATGAATTTAACAGCTTAGCTAATGGGATGGTCTATGAACGGGGGGGGGGGGGGGTTTGTTTTCTTGGAAGAGTATTCCATTCCTAAAGTTCCAGATATACCAAAGTAGGAAAGGAAGATGGACTGCCCAAGGAAGGTGAGTATTAAAAGACTTCTTAGATGCAAGCTGTTTTTTAAGCCAATTAAACCAGGAGTCTTTATCCAAAGAGTTTAGAGGGAAGAGGTGGTCAGTTCTCGTTTGTGCCCAGATGGATCTTGCGTAGTTGCAGCGGAAGAAGATGTGTTCAGAATCTTCTGTCTCCCTATTGCATATGCTACAGATGTCGTCATGACATATTCCTCTTTTGTCTAGCATATGTTTTGTGGGTAGCCTATTCCATATGACTGTCCATAGGAAGTATTTTAATTTGTTTATGGAATTAATTTTCCAGAGCTAGGAGTAGTCCTTGGTGTTTTCACTCCTATTGTCTGAGATTGCCTCATAAGCGGCTTTGGTAGAGAAATAGTTGTGCTCTTTTGAGTTGGTTCTCTGTTCCCTTTCGGTCACGGATCTCTAAATCAAATTCTTGCAGCAGTAGCACCCATCGAATCAGGCGCGGTTTTGACTCCTTTTTTTTTCGATTAACTACCTGAGAGCAGCATGGTCAGTATAAACAATTACCTTTGAGCCTATCAGGTAAGACTTGAACTTGTCAAATGCGAACACCACTACCAGTATCTCCTTTTTGGTCACAATGTAATTTAGCTGGGCTCCACTCAATGTCCTACTTGCGTAGTATATTGGATGCATGATTTTATCTTTTCGTTGCCCAAGCACTGCTCCCACAGTGTAGTCACTAGCATCACACATCAGCTCAAACGGTTGCTCCCAGTTGGGGGCAACTATGATAGGTGTTGTCACCAGTCTCTTCTTTAATTCCTCAAAAGCTACCCTGCAGTCATCAGAAAACACAAAAGGGTGATCTTTTTCAAGCAATTTACACAAGGGGTTAGCAATTTTGGAAAAGTCTTTTATAAATCTCTTATAGAAACCGGCGTGCCCAAGAAAACTTCTGATTGCTTTGCCTGAGGTGGGTGGTGGAAGCTTTTCTATCATATCAACTTTTGCTCGATCCACCTCAATACCTTTACTTGACACTAGGTGCCCTAAGACTATACCTTCCTGTACCATGAAATGGCACTTTTCCCAATTTAGTACCAGATTAGTCTCTATACACCTTTTCAAAACTCGCCTCAAGTTCACAAGGCAATCATCGAATGAATTCCCCACCACCGAGAAGTCATCCATGAAAACCTCCATTATCTCCTCTACCATATTTGTGAAGATGGCCATCATGCCCTCTGGAATGTGACGGGTGTATTGCATAGGCCAAACGGCATTCGCCGAAAAGCATAGATTCCATAAGGGCAGGTGAACGACGTTTTCTCTCTATCCTCTAGGGCAATGGAAATCTGATTATACCCCTATTACCCATCTAGGAAGCAAAAGTGAGACCTCCCTGCCAATCTATCTAGCATCTGATCAATGAATGGCAGTGGGAAGTGGTCCTTCCTGGTGGCCAAGTTCAACTTCGTGTAGTCCATACAGATTTGCCATCATGTGGCTGTTCGTGTAGAGATCAACTCATTCTTCTCATTTTCACTACCGTCATCCCTCCCTTTTTCGGTACACACTGCACTGGGCTAACCCAGTTGCTGTCAGAGATGGGGAATATGATTCCCGCATCTAACCATTTAATCACTTCCTTTTTCACCACTTCTTTCATGTTGGGGTTCAACCTTCTTTGATGTTCTCTGGAAGGTTTGTGCCCATCTTCTAGTAGAATCTTATGCATACAGAAGGCCGGGCTGATCCCCTTAATGTCTGCAATGGTCCACCCAATTGCAGTCTTGCACTCAGTTAGTACCGACAAAAGCTGTTCTACCTGCACATCTAACAAACTGGATGAGATAATAACAGGTAGAGTTGAGTTAGGTCCTAAGAATGCATACCTGAGATGAGATGGCAGTGGCTTCAGTTCCAGCTTTGGTGGCTCTTCTATTGACGGCTTAGCTAGAGGAGTTTTTCTTTCCTCCAAGTGCAAAGGCTCAAACTCCAGCTCCCTTTTCTAGAAACCTTGGCCTTCAAGAGCAAGTACCCACTCTGCCAAGTCTTCACCATTAGCTTCGTCTAAATTCATGAGACAAGCTGCTAGAGGGTCTTTAAGGTTCAATGCTGCATCGTCTTCCTCCAACACTACATCCACCGCATCTATTAGAGAGCAATTGGCAAATTCATTGGGTCTGCACATAGATTCCTGCACGTTGAATGTTATCTCTTCATCGTTTAATCGCATTTTGAGCTTTCCGGTTTCACAATCAATTCGAGCTCTCCCAGTGGCCAAGAATGGTCTTCCCAAAATTATGGGAATTTCCTTGTCACCCCGATAGTCAAGGATGATAAAATCTGTTGGAAACACAAACTTCCAAACCTGTACCAATACATCATTTAGAATCCCGAAGGGCCTTTTCACAGTTCGGTCAGCTAGCTGTAGTAGCATAGACGTGGGTCTAGCTCTTCCAATGCCTAGCCTTTTGTAGATAGTTAGGGGCATAAGGTTTATGCTTGCTCCCAGATCATACAGTGCCTTAGCAAATTCAAAGTTTCCTATTGTGCAAGGGATTGAGAAACTCCCTAGGTCAGACAGCTTCTCAGCTATGGGTCTCGTCACAACAGCACTATAAGTCTGAGTCAGTGTAACCGTGGCCAAGTCTTGAAAGTCGAACTTGCGGGACATCAAGTCCTTCATCATCTTTGCATACCCAGGCATTTCCTTTAAAGCATCGATCAATGGAATGTTTACCTGAATCTGTTTCAACATCTCCAAGAATTTCTTGTACTGCTCATCTTTTTGATACTTAGCCAATCTCTGTGGGAATGGTGCTGGAGGTCGCTTCTTCCCTGTAATTTGGCTTTTCTCTTGTTCAGGCACTGCTTCTACTGTCGGTTCCGCTGCAGCTTCAGTCTCTTTCTCAACCACATCTTCCTTGTTGGTGTTTTCTTGCGCATTCTGTACCGTCACCTCAATTAAACGTGCTGAATCATCTATCTCAACGGGTACTGGCACCAGTGTCTCGGTCGGCCTGCTTTCACGAGAAATTTCTTGCTCCAGATCTAAGTCCCTACCATTTCGGAGACTCACTACCATCAGCTGCTTCGGGCCCTGCTCTTTTGGATTGATTTGAGTGTCTGCAGGTAACGTCCCATGAGGACAATTATTTAGGGCCATGGAAATCTGTCCTAACTGGATCTCAATATTTTTGATCGCTGACTCATGTGAGTCTACTCTGTCAGCTAGCTTTCCAGTGGACCCAATCACTTGTTGCATCATACCCTCGAGTTTAGCAAACCCATCTTCATGTCTCCCAATCTGTTGGTGTGGAGGTTGTTGATAAGCATGTTGCTGATTTTGCTGGTTGTACCCTTGTTGCCTTTGGTAAGGCACCATTTTCCCCTATGGTCGCATAGCCCCATGATTATTGTTGTTATTGTACTGCTGCTGAGCTGGTCTGTGTTGTTGATTCTGCTGACCCCAATTCTGACCACCTAGTCTCGGTCCCCCGTAGTTGGCCACATAATTCATGTTCTCTTGATATTGTTGATTATCACCTTCAGCACTCCATGAGCAGACATACGATTGATTAATGTATAATGTACATAGACCCCCATTGGTTGCATCAACTATGTCCTGCTTCTTTTGGATTGATTCTTCAATCTTTTTGGTGAGAATGCTCATTTGTGTCATCAGAGTGGCCATATATTCAGCTATGGAGTTAGCCGGGTCTAGAGCCACTGAGTGAACCGCAGGAGTGATTGGAGCGTTTCTTGTTGTCCATCCTGAGTTTTGCGCCATCTTGTCAAGTAGAATCTTGCTCTCTCTGAATGTTTTGCTAAAAAATGCTCCACCTGCTGAAGCATCAACATTGGCTTTCAAACTATCTGCCAAACCCATGTAGAATCTCTGCCCCAACATCTGCTCCGGAATACCATGATGTGGACACGTAACCAGCAGACCCTTGAATCTCTCCCATATTTCGTGTAGTATCTCAGTTGGTTTCTGTTTGAAGCTCAATATCTCATCAATTTGCTGAGCAGTCTTATTGGGTGGATGAAATTTGCTCACATATTGCTTGACTAATTCCTACCAAGTAGTGATGGAGTTGATGGGGAGTGAATTAAGCCAAGTCTAAGCTGCTCCTGTCATTGAGAATGGAAACAACAACAAACGTATTGCTTCCGGTGTAACGTTGTGTTGCCTCTGCGTGGCACAAATTGATAGGAAATTCTTGAGATGCTGCTGAGGATCTTCAATGTATGACCCAGAGAATAGTCCCTTGTTCTGCAACAGATGTAGCATATTATTTGTGATCTGGAATGAATCTTCTTGTATTTGCGGGACTACAATAGCAGTTGCTAAGTTATCAGCTGTGGGTTGTGCCCATTCATATAGTGCTGCTTCTGGCACAAGAGGTGCCACACCCTGATCATTTGGGTCATTCACGTTGTTTCTGTTTTTTAGGTTGTCGTCTTCCATGTCTGATTCAATGTTTCCGGTTGAGTTCTGTTGTTGTTTGCTTTTCCTATTTGCACGATTCAATACCTTGAAGACTTTCTCAGGATCTGATAATGCTTCGAGCAATTCACCAGTTCTTGAGGAGTTTCTAGTCATGCACCTGTAACAACCACGACTACAAACGTTAGAATTTCAATGGTCAGTTTAGATTGAAGAAAATTGACTACACTAAGAATTTTTACACATCTTTTTAACTGCAATCAATAACACCGTTAACTCCCCGGCAACAGCGCTAAAATTTGATCACGCCCAACTATGCCTTATAAAAAGGACAAAGCGGTCGCTACAAATATATTCCGGTTAACAAGTTTGGAGTCGAATCCCACAAGGAATTAATCTATCGATCACAACTATTGGACTCACAGAAATTCACGTATTCAATCTTCAGAGATGTTTGAGTAACAAAATGGATATTTATTAACTAAATATTACGTAATAAAAATGCAATAATTAAGAACTAGCTATAAATTGGTTGTAAGCAAGAATGAGAAGGGTCTAAGGTTCTGATTTCCCCTGTTGTCGGAATCCTTTCCTCTATGTTTGCTATAAATTTGCCTAAGTCTTCTCTATCGATCATGAGCAATCTGACTTTCGTATCTCTCTCCCGAGTAATTTCAACAATATACTAGACATATTCTCCCGAATTACGCTAGCTAGCTTTTAAGTATAGCTCACTTAGATCGCACCCAAGGTTTCGTTATCCCTAACACCACCTTTAAACCCTTCGTATTGATCCCTCATATACGTTAGGAGTGATGATGTTCAACAACAACCTAAATATACACTCTCTCCCGAGTAATGCACACTAAATAGGAACAACTAATTGAGGTTTCTTCAATCAACAACAATGAGCATATAGTTGAACAAATAGAGATAATACGATGGCAAATCTATATTAACATGACGAGAAAATCATCCTTCAACATGTTCCATCAAAACCCTAGATTAGGTATTTAGCTACTCATGCTCATAGTAACAATTCCACAAATAGTTTGCATAATCAAATTACAAATTAAAGATGAACAAATGTAGAATTCAATGATAATCTCCTTCCAAAATAGTATCCCTGGGTCTCCGGTGTGTCAAAAGTCCTCCAAATAGCGTTTTTACATGTATTTATACCAAGTAGGGTCGGGTCCAGACGAAACACCCTTTCCTGCGCGAATTAGAACTTAGATCTGCGAATTTTGTACAGCCGCGCCGCACGCTGCGTCGCACAATGCGGCGCGGTAGTGGGAAACTTCAGAGAGTTGATTTCTGACGCTTGTTGTGAATTTGCACTATTGCGGCGCACACTGCGGTGCAGTAGTGCAAATCTCTCAGAGTGAAATTTTTTCTCTTCTTTTGACATCCAAACTTGGTACACGACCTCCGAACACGATCCCGACTTAATGCATTGGGCTTTTACTCAGACTTCAAAGCTCCAAATTGATCGATTTAGCTCCAAATTACTTTTGAACTCGGGATCACTTCCTGCAAGGCATAAAACACGTACTAAGTGTAATTCACTATCATTTGAGCTTAAGCACACGTAGAAATGCAGTAATTGGAATGTAATACTATGGCTAAAATACGAGTTTCTAGACAGTACCCGATGATCATTTGAATGGTACGGGTCGGTGAGGGTGGTTTCGGTGTTCCCTGGTGTTGTTCACGTCCTCGGGAAAAGTTGGTCCTCCCCCGGTAGCTCAGCAATTCTTTGAGGTGTCCTTGGTGAAGCATGTTCACGACCTCCTACCTTAGGGCGATGCAGTCCTCGATTTTGTGACCTCGCTCTTGGTGGAACTCGTAGAGAGCGTATGACGTTCTGGTGCTTGGATCTGTCCTCATCTTTTGTGGCCACTTTACTTTTCGTCGGAGCTTCTCCAATGCGTAGACTATTTCTGAGGGTGAAACACAAAAATTATGAGCGGATAACAAAAGGGGCATACCTCTCTCGTTCCGGTGAGTCCCTGTCCTTGGTCTTGGTGGACCCTCTTTGTGGCGGTAGGGGGCATAATGGCGCTTCAGGTATATGGCTTATGTTGTTCTCGATTAGATCGTGGGGCTGCGAGATCCCTCCTGACATCGTTTCTTCGATCCTTCCTGGAATCTGCCTGTACTAAGGTCAACCGATGAGTTAGCCCATTTAGGTCATCCTCGTCTGCATGGACCTCGACACAGTAGGCGTTATGTATTTCATCGCAAGTGGTTGGAGGATATTTCATAAGCCAACTAAATAACTTTCTGGTCGCCCTTGAGCCATTCCTGCTCAGCCCGTTTTGGAAGGCTGCTACGGCCATTCCTTCTGATATATTTGGTAAGGTCATCCTTACTCGGTTGAATCGAGCGAGGAAGTCCCTCAATCCCTCTCCGGGCGATTGTTTGATGGCAAATATATCGTTCACTTTTGCCTCCCCCTTTTTGGCCCCAGCATTGGCCGTTACGAACTTGTCGGCCATCTCTTCGAATGTTTCGATGGAACGAGCGGGCAGTTGTGAATACCAAGTTAATGCTCCTCCGGTGAGGCTCTCGCCAAACTTTTTCAACAACATGGAGGATACTTGTTCTTTGGCGAGATCATTGCCTTTTACAGCGGTGACATAGTGAGTCACATAATCTTCGAGATCGGTCGTACCATCATATATTTTCAGATAGGACGGCATCTTGAAGGTCTTGGGTATGGCATGCGGGGCGGCTTCATCATTGTATGGTTGCTCGATAAACCGACCAGCATCTCTTTTTGGAAAGAGTTTTGGGGCACCCGGTATTTTGTCGACTCTTTCTTGGTGCTATCTCATTTGGTCCCAAAGCACTTTGTTCTCATTTTCCATTTCTTCCATCTTTTTCAGAATGGATGTGAGGGTATCGTTACCTGCATTATTAATATTGTGAGTGATACTTGCCACTAGAGGAAAGGGCCGTGCTGCTCGGCCGTTGTCGGTGAAATGCAAGTCCTTGCATTTTCTCTGGCTGTCTCCTGGGCGGGCTTGTCGAGGATGCTGGTTAGCGTGTTAGTTAGCCAAGTCTCAAGTAGCTTTTTCACTGCTGGTGGCACCTCTTCCGGCGTGGACGTGGAAGCTCCTTTACCGCAGTTATGTTGCGATACTGCCGTGAGGGAGGGGCGACCCACCTCGTCGGGGGAGGCGTTAGGTGTTATGTCCTCGCCTTCTAGTTCAGAAACCTCATTGATGGTGTTCAAGAGGTTGGTGGTGAAGTCAGCCACTACCTTCATTCTTTCTTCTCCATTACCTGCCATGTCAGATCTGTGTGTACAAGAAAAAGGAGTTTTGCTTTTTTTTTTTTGTAAACCGTGCTAGTTATAGATCTAGAAGAAACTAAAAATTTAACTAGAAAATTCCCACAGACGGCGCCAAACTGTTTGACCAAAAAGTGTAAACCTTCGGCTAATCTAATTAATTTTGTGTAATGAGGGGTTAAACCTAGTTAATGATAATATCTCTAGATTTAGAACTAGTTGACACATGTAACGTAAGATAGTGCTGGTAGGGAATTAAATATAGTGCGTTTTTAATATTCCAAAAGACTTGAGCAATAATGGGGGAACATCGAGCAATAAATGATATTAGTGTAAATAAGGAGAATGATTCACCCAATATTCAATGAGGTGGATGATTCTTCTTTCTGACAGTGATGAATGACAGACAAATCCTAGAATTGGAACTATTATCAGATCTGACGGAAAAGTATAGAATAATGGATGGTAGAATCTTAGTAAAAAGGTAGTGTTTGTATCTTTTCTAGAGAGAGAGTCTTCTTCTCAAAAAGTTTTTTTATCAAATGAATATTACATGCCCTCTCTCCTTATCTCTCTTTATATTTATATGGGACATATCCCCAATCAATCCTAAAAGTACAAATATAGAGAATATTCA